AATGTTCTAAAGTTATCTCTTGTTGTAAATCCCTCATATGGTTGCATGCTAGATTATTTGGGGAGGATTTCCGGAGGCTGTTTGAAAGGATAGGTAGGTGACTGCCTCAGTGAATGGATGTTCTTTATGGTGCACTTTAGACAAGACGAACTATTTCTAGGTGGAACACTAGCTTAGTTTCAATAAGCAAATGCTCTACCATAGTCTGAGATTTCTTTGTAGAGTTACTGAGTTAAGATTGTTTAACTCAAGATTAATGTTCAATTAAAATTATTTCGTAAACCCTAAATGATTAAGCTTATATTTACAAATATTCATGAAGTCAAATTTTCAGAATTGGTATGTTTCTTGCAAACTAAACCACATCGAATTGCGAACTAGAATTAGAATAATGTAGTAGACACTTGTTGGTAACTATTACTTTAACATGTGATCTCAGCTTGCTCCTTTTTAAAGTGGCACGGTGTCTCTTAAGAGCCGGCTGGTTTATTCCTGACTGCCTATGTGTGTGTGGCTGTTGGCTGACTTAAAACATAATACTATATTTTCTTTAGAAGTCTTAATGAAGTAGCCTGCTGCAAAAGAATCCAGCAACAATGGCTTTCCATGTGGAGGGGCTGATAGCTATCATTGTATTCTACCTTCTAATATTGCTGGTTGGAATATGGGCTGCATGGAGAACCAAAAACAGCGGCAATGCAGAAGAACGCAGTGAAGCCATAATAGTTGGTGGCCGAGATATTGGTTTGCTCGTGGGTGGATTTACTATGACAGGTAAGTTCCAGTGCCTTCTGCTTCATGCTGCCAACCCACCCTTTGGCTTCTCAGAGTGCAGGGCATGTGGTTTCAGAGTGGTAAAGCAAATGCTGCCCTTTGTTCTTTGGGGGCTCTTACTCGTTAATGCAACAAAGTCAGTATTCATCATGCTCATTAACACAGGCATGAAGTTATGACTTTCAGTTATCTCAAATTTCAGTTATCAATAAGTACTCATTAATGATTGTTTTAAACCTACCGAGGCTTATTTGAGATTAAAACAATTCCAAATTAATTGATGTCCTGTTTTGAGAACTAATGATCCCATCTGATAAGGCAATTCTCTTATCTGATGAATCTATAACCCTGAAGGGAGGGAAAAAAGACTTCCAGGCACCCGATTATAAAAGGGGAAAACTAGGGTGTGTCCTTGCATGATTCTCACAGCTACCATCTGTGGCTTCCCCTCACCCAGACACTCTTTGCTTTAGGAGGGGCTGGTGGTCTTTCCTCCCTTTGCTCTGAAGGTGGGTCTCTTTCACCTAGTATCTCTGTTACTAAGCAAGTCGATGAAAATTGATGATATGTTTTTACGTGCCTTGGCTTAGACCATCTGAAACCCGGGGGTCTAGTAAAATGCATAGGTATAAATAGTGATTTGGTGAAATGCTTCTGTCCTATATTCTTGTCTGGTCATTGAAAACAGTATGGGGAGATATGACCATTTTAAATAAAATCTTTAATCTTTTTTCTTACACATGTAATGACATATTTTATTACAGAGTCTTACTAGGTTATAAATATTAACATGAACAAATAGTTAACAAGAATTCTGAGCAACCTTTGGGAAAATAGCCCATAAGAGACTATTTTCAAATGATAATTCATTTCAGTCTTGAAGTGCTTCTGAAAGAATGATTCCCCCAGTATGTCTATTACTAAACAAGTCTGTGAAGATTGAACGTATGTTTTTACATGCCTTGACTTAGTTCATCTGAAGCCTATGGTTCTAGCAAGATGTACAAGTATAGATAGTCTCTCTCATTTGTTCACAATATGTTTGCTTGTTCATTCACGTTATGTTTATTTACCTCTTTTCCAACTATACGGTTCTATGTGATCTTTAGAACTGCATTATTGAATGAACTTTGGGATTAAGTAGGATCCCAGGTTACTTGGTTAACTAGGACTAGAGTTAGGCTCAAACCAGGTCTCTTAACACCTCTGTGATATACCACATGCAGCCTTCTGACTTCAAAATTTTAGTGCTTTATAAAGGTTCATTGTCTGTAAAGAATCTTTGCCCTACCTTCTGTATTACCCACCCATGTACAGTCTACACACTCTGTGTCTTCAATTCTCATTTTCCATTGTTGAACAAGCATTCCTTCTTGTCCTTAAAAATCCGTATGCAATACAGACTTTAAAGCAGAATTAAAGCATTGTATATCCTCCCCCCATATTTGCTCCTTCATAAGAAGAATCAGAAAAATAGACCAAAAATGAAAATAAAAAATAAAATAAAATCTACAAAAGTTCTTGATTTGACTCAAAAAATTGTTGAAATACATGACCTCCCAAATATGAAAGCATTTTGTTCCATGTAAATTACTATAAAATCCTGTTACTCTAGCTTAATGGTATATTTTAAATAACCTTAAAGGTAATATTCCAGAATTTGTTTTGTCATTTAGAGTGTTCTTAAGCAAAAATATATCAAAGAATACAGAAAATATTTATTAAGATACTTTTTTAAGCTATCATGATCAATCTCAGTTTTCAAACTTTTATCTAAACCTCTCAGAATATAAAAAGAAATGTAGTCAATATCATCATTATTTAAAAATCTGAATTAAATGATCTAAACCTCATCAAATCAATTGACTTACATCCATCTGATTAAGGATACAGGTCAAAAATGTGGACTCCTCACCAAAGTATTTTGTTTAAATGATGTCTTGTTCTCAGTCAGAAACAACACAAGACATATATGCGAGGAACAAGTTCTGGCATAGAAAGAAGTGGATTGAGAGAAACTGAGGTGCTTTGTTTAGCTTTATATTATAATAGTTACAATCATTAAGGCACCAGTTTTCTTTCTGGACAAGAGACAGGAGACCGACACAATGAAAAATGATCACTAATAAGCTTTGTGCTTGTATGACCATCAGACCATTTATTTTGTGCAATGAAACACGGCTGGTACATTAGCAGTTTGAGTTGCCTGGTCAGGAAGATAAAGTCTCAGTACTGTGCCTAAAAGAATTTGTTCCTTCAGGACCTAGTTTCACATTCACTCAAAAGCCACATTTCAGAGAAACAAACGTATACATGTTTTTAAAGCTCAGAATATGTATGGGAATTCAGCAGAACTTAAATTGAGAAAATGAGGTAAAAACACCTGTCATTTATCAACTACCTATATAAAAACTACTTTGAAGATGAGACATTTTGGTAAATATCTACTGTCCATTCTTAATTTTGTAATATGGTTTTCATTTAAATGTTCTTCAATTACCTTGCAATAAGATTTTTTCATAGTGATCTTTAAAAAACATTATTAATTCCAATAATACTTGATTGCATGATGGAAGCGGAAACATTCTTAAATAAAAATTTTTATGTATTCATTTCACTGGTTTGCAACCTAATTATAAGATATTAGAAAATTCTTTAGAATCAAATTGATTTAGTCTCATATTAGATATTCAATCTTATTAGTCAACACCCCACATAATTTCACATAGATACACAAAGAAAATTTTAACATTATTTTGACAATGGTATTAAAGCATATACACTGCAAATGCTTACACTTAATTTTTCAGCAAAAAACAAATATTTTGTTTTCTACTCATAGAAACTGATGAGTTTGTATCTATCTCTTGGTCCAATTTTGTTTGGCCCAAACTTATTTTCTTTAGTTTTTTTGTTTCTTGAGCTTCCTTTTTGCTACTGTTGTTTGTTGTTGTTGTTGTTAGGTGTCATTGAGTCAGCTCCAACCCATAGCAACCCTGCGCACAACTGAGTCGCACACTGCCTGGTCCAGACCCATCCTCCTCACGCTTGCTCTTTTGCTTGAGCCCCTTGTTGCAGCCACCACACCATTACATGTCATTGAGGGCCTGCCTCTGTTGCGCTGCCTCTCCACTTTACCAAGTACGATGTCCTTCTCCCGGGACAGGTCTCTCTTGAAAAAATATCAAAAATATGTAAGGCAATGTCTTGACATCCTGGCCTCTAAGGAGCCCTCTGGCTATATTTCTTCTAACCTAACCTTACTTTTATGCTACAGAAAGTTTACTTTCAAACATGTCATGAATTTTTTTTATTATGATCTATGCATTCCTAGATATCCTATCAAAAGATCCACATTAAAATGAAGAATTGTATGTGAGTACAAGCCTTTTAAATGATTATGAACACAAGTCTAGGCCCTCATATTTATGTTTATCAGTTCAGAAGGGAAAGGAAAAACTTCCTTTCCGAGAATTGAAGGTATGAAGCACATCTTCGTGGCAATGCAGAGTAGGTATTCCAGATTCTCACATATCCTCAATGTTCAAGAGCAACAACAACGAAAAAAGCCATCCAATCAATTCTGACTCATAGAGACCCTGTACAACATTTCCAAAGACTGTAAATCTGTATGGGAATAGACAGTCTCCTCCTCCCCCCATGAGTGTCTGGTAGATTAGAACTATAGATCTTGCAGTTAGCCATCCAACACTTACCTGAAAGTGCCTCTGTGGTTCCTTCAAGAAGAGATGCTTCATAATCGGTTCCCTCTCTCCAACCCACTCTCCCTCTACCCTCCCAGTATCTCCACTCACACCACTGGTCCTGTAGGGATCATCCACCTGGGTTCCCTGTATTTCCAGTTCCTATCTGTACCAGTGCACATCCTCTGGTCTAGCCAGACTTGCTAGGTAGAATTCAGATCATGATAGTGGGAGCGGGGAGTAAACATTTAGGAACTAGAGGAAAGTTACATCCTTCGTCGTTGCTACATCGCACCCTAACTGGCTCGCCTCCTCCC